CACAAGGGCAGGCGCTGACCTCCAACAAAAAGAAGAAGTAATTTTATCGGAATACATGAGTTTTTTCTTTTCGAAATCCGAATAGAAAGGGTACAGCTTGTATTCGAATACAACGTGTACCTTTTCTATTCGAGGAACTCTGCTATTCGAGAAAAGTGGACCTGCACCGTTTCAATTTCGAAAAAGGACCGCGGCCTCCTCGGCCTCCTACGCGCAGCTACCGGTCCTACACGGTCCTGGACCAAAACCCGTGCGGTCCCACGGGCAGCTACCGGTCCTGCAGTTTCAAAGAAGATGCCACCACCCCCTAAACTGCCATGCCTTTTTTTTCCAGCCTTCCAACGACCGTATAATGAATGACGACGAAAAATGTTCTCAGGGGGGGGGAAAACACACCCCTGACGGGCTGCGAACTCAGGTCCAAGTCCACTCATAGCACTCATGTAGTCTGAGCATCCCCTAAGCAGCTACAACCACAGGCAATTCTTACCCCTCATACCAGAGAGAGCGAGAGAGAGCAAGGAGGGGAGTGGTCCCATGGAGTGGTCCCATGGAGTGGTCCCAGGGAGTGGTTCACCCCACACCCTCCTACACCTTCTACAGTCTTCCACACTCTCCCATCATGAAGAACAGACATGGGCGCTTAGCGGCGCCTCCTCGCTCCCAAAAAAAGGCATGCCTGACAGTCAAATCTCCCAAATAGGTATGCTCACACTATCGACTTTTCACAGTTCTCTGTGGACATTATTGCAGTCAGGTGCATCCAGGCCGGGTTGGAAAAGCTGTCATATACATCCCGGAAAGTCCTTCTCTGAGTATGTCCTAAGGAAGGTAATCAGCACCGACCGGGTGTTGCTTTGGCCGTAGAGGAAGGCCGCGCATTGCATATTATAATTTATTATTAAATCCTGTCACTTTCCCAATCAATGCTGACCTGGGGTTTTGCATACGCAATCTGCAGAACCAGGTGCAATCAGCAGAACCAGGTTCAATCAGCAGAACCAGGTGCATTCAGCAGAACCAGGTTCCTTCGGCCGTGAAGGAAGGAGGTGGCAGTTGCGCGTGATGTCTCATAACTCGGACTTGTCGTTGGGAAAAAAAAAAAAAAAAAAAAAAAAAAAAAGCAACCAGACTGTCACTCCCTAGAACAGAAAGGGGCCGAGACTGTGTTTCGTCCGATGCCCCTAACAGAAGAGGCGGTGTTTCGTCGGATGCCCCTAAAAGATTTACGAGTACTCGGTGAATGCAGCACTCCTCCTGACAGCAGTCAAATTTGCCAAATATATCCCTTGTGTTGATTGGACCATTTGCCGAATAGCCCTCGGACGGCCAGGCCCATGACACAAAGTTGTACACCTCACTGACAGGCCTCCGACAAAGACTGCGGGTGAGAAAGGCATTTGCCAAATACCAATCTTCGAGGGGCATCCAACGAAATACAGCATCTTTCAGGGGCATCCAAGAAATTTGCCCTTCAAAAAAAAAAAGAAAAAAAAAAAAAAAAGAAACGTGAAATGTCATCTCCGCTCCAGTCAGAATGTACCTAGTTCTGCAGACAGATTGCATCTGGTAGTCTGTAGATCAGTCTGTAGATCATGCAGATATTTTCTGACGAGGGGTGTTCAGTTATCTTCAAATTTTCCTGGGGCCATTTTTGCAATTTTCCCCAAGAGAGCATCAAGAAACTTGAAACCACTGGTGTCCCCACATAACTCAGGAGGTTGAAGAAAGGATGCCCATTGCCCACCCATACGCCAAAACTCCTCCTCCTCCTCCTCCGCTCATCTCTCTGCGAACTACAGTGTTCTGTCACCTGATCTGCTGCTTTCCCTCTTCAGAATCCAGCATGCTAATACCTCCCCCCTCCTCCCCCCTCCTCCTCCTCCTCCTCCTCCTCTCCTCCTCCTCCCCTTCTCCTCCACCTCCTCCTCCTTCCTTCTCCCTCCAGTTCCATTCAGTTTCCGTGTCTCTTCGACTTCTCGAATGACGAACATGGTGTCATTCCTGTACAGTGTTCTGCAGCCATCGCATCTCTGTTGCCTTGCGACTCAAGAGTCCAGCATGCTGATATCCCATCCCTCTCCTCTTGCTCCTACTCCTACCCCTACTCCTACTCCTACTCCTACTCCTCCTCCTCCTCCCTCCCCCTTGTTGCTGTGTCTCCATGACTTGTCCTCCTCTGAATCTGGTCCCACTCTTGCTCACTGTTCAACTACCATCACATCAACTCGGTGTCCAGCATGCTGACTTCTCCTCCCTCTCCACCGGTTTCTCCTGCTCCTCCTCCTCCTCCTCCTCCTCCTCCTCCTCCTCTCCCTCCCGTTCTATATGCGTTGCTGTGTCTCCATGACTTTTCCTCCTCTGAATCTGGTGCCGTTCTTGTTCAGTGTTTAACTACCATCACATGTGTTGCTTGCAATTATGAGTCCAGCATGCTGACTTCTCCTCCCTCTCCGCCCTCTCCTCCCTCTCCTCCTGTTCCACCTACTCCTACTATTCTTCCTCCTCCTCCCTCCAGTTACAGATTATTGCTGTGTCTCCATGACTTTTCCTCCTCTGAATCTGGTCCCACTCTTGCTCACTGTTCAACTACCATCACATCTGTGTTGCTTGCAACTCAGCGTCCAGCATGCTGACATCCTCCTCCTCCTCCTCCTCCTCCTCCTCCTCCTCCTCCTCCTCCTCCTTCCAATTCGATTTTGTTTGCTGTGTCTCAATGAACTTTCGTGGTCCTGAATCTGGTGCCACTCTTTTGCTCAGTTTTCCAGTGCCATCACATCTGTGTCGCTTGCGACTCAGAGTCTAACATGCTGATATCCCCTCCCCCCCCTTCTCCTCCTTCTCCCTCTAGGTGTGCTGTGTTGTCATTGTGCTGCCTCTGACCCTTTCCCTCCTCCTCAGCCGGTGGCTGCAAGACCTTCCGGCTCTGCTCGAAATACTGGTTTGGGTGATTTATACCCGTGTCGCACGAGCAGCCATGCACCGCTTCGAAGGCCTGCGCGCACGCCAGCTGGTAGTGGCAGCCCCGCACCTTGCCCATGATTTCGTCAGTCGTCCGGCCGTCCAATCGCAGCGAGCCGAGCGCTGCCCGCAGATTCTCCTCGCTGAAATGCCGATAAGGACACCCGTGGTGGTCCCCCACCCCCGGCGTCTGCTTGATGATCTTCACGCACGAGTACGGTGTGTAGTCTGTCCGTTTTCCCTCTTTGCCGTAGTTGTGCCGGACGTTATACGCATACTCCTTGTCGAATTTCTCAACGCCCACGCCTTTGCCGAATTCCGACCGCCAGAATGCCAGCGCATCTTCCAATTTCAACCCTATCCCTTTCAAAAACAGGCCTAATTGCATTCTACCCCCATGGCGGAGGTGGTGGTCATCCTTGAGCTTAACATGCAGGTGCCGCATACACAGAGGGAACGACTGGAATGCCAACGCATCCAGATCCTGCAGTCTAACATCTCCTCCTGCTCCTCCTGCTCCTGCCCCATGCGGCTGAGCATAATTCGGTCCCAAGTACCGGGTACTTAGCGCCTCCACGATCGGTGCCAACCGGTCCTTCTCCTCCAGAGCCACCTTGAAAGCCCACTGCCTGTTCGTAAAGACCAAGGCTTTCGACAGTCTGCTGCGAAAATGGCCTACCACGAGAGTCGAGAGGTGATCCCGGGGGACAAAGGCAAAGCCTTTATTAATGTACACCCGCCTGAAGGCCACCAGCTCAGTGACCTCCTCGAACTGCACCTTGTAATAAATGCTATCGTCTTGAGGGATCGGGGCCCCGACGGATCGCGCTACCTGCGCCAGCTTGTCCCGCACTCCGCCGTACTCCGCCGCGCTTATTGCCTGGTAAGGCAGGTCGCTGTCTTCCAAAAACTTTTTCTGGACATCAGGCCCCTCGATGCGAAACCTGTGACGAAAGAGAAAGGACTCCATAGCCAAGAACCACCTCCTCAGCTCCTCCGTCAGGCAATAAGCCAGCCGGAGAATGAAATGGGACACCACGTCTTTCTGCGCCGTCTCCGCCGGGGTCGCGCAACGCATGTGCTTCCGCCATAGCCCGTGCACGAGCGCGTCCATCTCGTCGGGACGCTTGCCCCGCGACTTCGCATCCTCGATGGACTTCAGCACGCGCAGGCGGTCCAAGGCAAATTCCTCCAGACTCTCCAGAGTCACTTCCTCGCTCGGCGGAGTCTGATACATAGTCAGCCGCGTCCCTATCCCGACATTGCTCCCCACTACCAATCCACCAGCACCTTTGCCAAGCGGACCCCCCACCCCACTCCCAGGGCCTGTCGACACCCGCCGGGTTTTCGTCACGTTGAAATTCATTTTCTTTGCCGATGATAAAAAAGAAAAAAAGCTCAGAGAGAGAGAGAGAGAGAGAGAGAGAGAGAGAGAGAGAGAGAGAGAGAGAGAGAGA